CCAATATTCTTCTCCGCTTCGCGCTCTTGATCGATGACTGTGCAGATCTCCTTGAACTCAAAGTGAACAAGTTCATCCTCGGTATCACCATTGGCATGATACTTGATAAGCATTGCGAGAGCTTCATCACGTCGGTTCTTGGAGATCAACCATCGAGGGGATTCGGGAATAAAGGTGAGGCCAATGAGTTGGAGGCCTGGAAAGAAGGCCTGGAACAAGACGGGAATTCTCCAGCTCCAGCTGCCACTCATGTGTAGTGTTCCAATGGTAACTACGGCTGAGAGAATGGCGCCCCAGAACCAGATGGCTTGAAACATGTTGGTGACGTTGGCGCGGTGTCTCGGGTGAGCGATCTCGGTAGTCAGAGGTGGTGCCGACGTTTGTGCGAAGCCTAGGCCGATACCTAACATGATCTTAGTGCCCAAGAATGCCCATGGGCCATTCGTAGAAGCCTGGATGATAGCTGCTGCGATCATGATGGAAGAACCCAAGGCGATGGTGAAGCGGCGGCCCATCCAATCACTGACGTATGCAGCGGGGATGAATGCTGGCAAACCACCCAAGCTGATGCCAGCTATGATCAGGCCGAGGATACTTGTGCTGACATCTCCGATGTTGTCATGCCCTGAAGGATGTCAGTGGATGCTTTGGGAGAGGCACAAGAACCTACATTGTTTGATGGTCAAGAGTCCATTCATAAGACTTCCGTCGAATCTTGGGATGACTCAGTATGGTTTCCAACATGAGGGTGGCAACGAAGAAACATACCCGTTGGCAGCAGCCGATGCGAACATGAACCCAATCCCGATGTTGAGCTTTCTCAAGCCAGCATCGTGCATCCAGTTCTCGTTCGTGTTATTCTTGTATCGCTTGTAGACAGCATTGCCTGGATTGGTATCTTTTGAGGATATGACAGCCATGATGGCGCCCGGTAGTGGTCGATTCGATGTTCTTGACGAATAGGTAAAGGAGCAGAGAGATTTGGTGGTGCTAGGGGTTGGAACTGCTGATTGTCTTGGAGCCTGAAGTATAAGGGAAAAGCTTTCTGATCTGATTGCTTTAGTATTTGTTGTTGGTGAAGCTGATGTAGATAGAGACTCTGGACACTTACTGGGAGCAATGCCGGGCTTATATATGTGTTTTCGAGTTGAAGCATCACCGTAGACCAAGTCACTTAACCGTCAGCCCATACGTGACTGGTGACCCTCGGCTTTCGGATCATGAGAAAATCTTCAAGGCCTGGAATAAACTAACAGGGAAATCACCCCATGGAGGTCAGATGCTGTTCCCCAGCTTTCCTCCACAAAACCCGATGAATTCTCTGGCTCTCAATCTGGGGTTGAGCAAGAGCTGAATTGATTGGCGGGAAGAATCTCGGCAAGATTACTGACTCGATTTGCTGCCCTGGTTAAGTGGGTATGACGTGTCGGAAAGATTCTCGGGAGGTTTTCAGGGAGGATTCTCGGGAGAAATAAGATGGGGCACCGCCGCACCGCATGTTGGACGCATCATGTGTCCCTCTGCGGGCAGATTCTCGGTGATGACAGCGGAATCTCCATCGTGGCTCTCTTCTGCCATGTTCAAATAGTCTCTGTCATTCCACCATGGACTCTCATCCATCTTCATCCACTCAAGCACAACCATCAGTCATGCCCTCTGCAACACAAGACATCTCTAGCCCTATCAGCGAGGCCTGGTGGAAGGAGGCTTCTGTCTACCAGATCTACCCTTCATCCTTCAAGGACTCGAATGGAGATGGCATCGGTGACATTCCTGGTGTGATTGAGAAGCTAGACTACTTCAAGAATCTCGGTGTTGACATTGTTTGGCTATGTCCCGTTTACCCGTCGCCTCAGGTTGACATGGGTTACGATGTAGCCGACTACTGCGATATTGACCCGCAGTATGGGACCATGGCTGACGTCGAGCGACTCATAGAGGGTCTGCATGCAAGAGATCTGAAGCTATTGATGGATCTTGTGGTCAATCACACTTCAGACAAGGTTAGACACACTCACGGCGGAATTAGCACTTGCTAACACCTCTCACAGCACAAATGGTTTCAAGACTCCAAGTCATCCAAAGACAGCCCTTACCGAGACTGGTATATCTGGCGAAAGCCTAGGTACGATGAGAATGGAGAGCGACAGCCACCCAACAACTGGCTCTCCTATTTCGGAGGTATGTATTCTCGAACCGTCCGGGCGTTCTCGTCGCTAACATGAGATTCTGCACAGGAAGTGCCTGGGAATACGACTCTGCCTCTGATGAGTACTATCTGCATCTTTTTGCCAAGGAGCAGCCCGACCTCAACTGGGAACATGCTCCCGTACGCGAGGCCGTGCATGATGTTATCCGTTTCTGGCTGGACAAGGGCGTCGATGGATTTCGGTATGTCCCTTACTCTCAAAGCTTTAAACCGCACAACTAACTTGGCAGAATGGACGTGATCAACTTCATCAGCAAGCAAGACGGCCTCCCCGACGCCACCGTCAAGATTCCTGGAGCCAAGTACCAGTGGGGTGACGAGCATTACGCCTGCGGTCCTCGACTACACGAATATCTTCAGGATATTGGCAAGATCCTCAAAGAGTACAACGCTTTCTCCGTTGGCGAGATGCCAGCAGTCCAAGACCCCAAGGAAGTCATCAAGAGTGTCGGCGAGAGTCGCGGTGAGCTCAACATGATCTTTAACTTCGAGATGTAAGTCAACTTCCGCCGAAACGAAGTGTATCTATTGCTGACTTGATGCAGCGTGGATATGGATCATGGCGACGGAGGAAAGTTCACGCCGCACAAATGGGAGATGCAAGACCTGAAGAGAATTGTCAATAAGTGGCAGACCTTCATGTACAAGAACAAGGGCTGGAACGCCCTGTACCTCGAGAACCACGACCAGGCAAGGACAGTATCAAGGTGGGCCTCCGACAAGCCCGCCTACCGAGCGCTGTCGGCCAAGATGTTGTCCACGTTCCTATGCTTCCAGAGCGGTACAGTGTTTGTATACCAGGGACAGGAACTGGGCATGGCCAACATGCCGGCGGATTGGGAGATGACTGAGCATCGAGACCTGGAAACATTGAACCATTGGGAGGAGTAAGGCTTGTCATTTCCCGTGGTGGCTTGACCAGTTGCTAACTTGTGATCAGGCTGAAACAGACAACGGGTTCTGATGCAGCAGTCCTTGAGATCGCCCGCAAGGAATACCAACTCAAATCTCGCGATCATGCACGAACCCCAGTACAGGTAAGCTCGAACGCTTTGTAGAATCACGAGATCGTCTGACATGATGCCAGTGGGACTCATCACCGAATGCGGGCTTCTCGACAGCAACACCATGGATCCGAGTAAACGACGACTACAAGGAGTGGAATGCCGCGGCTCAGGTCGCCCAGTCAGATAGTGTGTTTGAACACTGGAAATCTGCACTTGCACTTCGAAAAGAACTGAAGGACATCATCGTCTACGGAGACTTCGAGCTTCTTGACGAAGAGAACGATGATGTTTTTGCGTATGCGCGGTCGAATGGAGCACAGAAGATTGTCGTTGTTTGCAATTTCCGAGACCGAGAGATTTCTTGGTCCCCTCCTGTCGATTTACAGGCGGGCAAGGTTTTGCTTGCAAACACGCCGGAAGTCAATCTGTCGCCGAAGACGATTGATCTTCGTCCATTTGAGGCTTTTGTTTGTCAATTGCATTAGAATAGATATCTTAAACCTAGACTCAATGAATGTTTCAAAGAAAGAACCGGTGCATAAATAGCACAAGAGCCCAGTAGATAAAGTCGCAGAAAATGAAGAGTAGCACCTGGCTTGGGCAATGTCAAAACGTGGGAGTCATAGATGAGGGACAGGTTGATTGAAGTGTACGGTGCATCTATGTTGAAAGCGATATGAGTGGTAATTTACGACACAGCTGGCACCAATAGCTATTCCTCCGCTTCGGAGATCCTCCCCGAATAGCTCAGCTGGAAGAGCGTTCGGCTGTAACTGTTAACTGACACCGAAAGGTCACTTGTTCGATCCAGGTTTCGGGGAAACAATTTTTTGACTTTTTGCCAACAGCGATAAATAAAGCATTTCACCATGGCGTATACCGCGAATCAATTCTATTATACCCAGTTATTAATCATTACTAGCTAATCGTATGTTTTTTTTTGTTTAACCCTGATTGAGTGGAAGACTCTGTACTCTGTGAGAGCAGAGCTGGGCCGATGTTTTCCCGAACACTCGCGAATCCCTTCTCGAGTAACGCGTTGTGCATCTCACGATAGCAACAAGGTGCCCGTATAGACGTCTCAATGAGGGCAGCGAGCAACGAAATGTGTTACTGCGGCAATTCGCCGTCCAGTTCTCGCGGTTACACTGAGCTCTCGCCCTGCGCGTACAAAGCTTCGCTACCGACGTCATTGTTTCCGCGCTGCGCCAGATCATTTTGCTAACCTCAAACTCCAAAGGAAAGTCGCTCTGCCTGTTTATCGGGATGTCCTTCGTAAAGGCTACTGTTTCTATTGGTCTCTTGACATCTATTTATTTTGCATCCTTTGTTATGCGACGAGGACTGCTGTTGCTTGCCGGTTGTTGGCACTGCCGTGAAGATGCCCATGATGCCCTTAGCATTGGGGATCATCTCGTGCCTCGACCGATTACTTCACAGCGGCTTGAGCAATCAATCGCCTGAACAAGTGTTTGGCGCTCCAGAATCATGCACTCTTCAAACGAGCAATACCAGAGGTACGGGTGATTGCCGTTTGCTTTCTTTGGCCCGCCCGCATCGCTTTTGCGTTTGCACTCGCACACTTACTTTGGCGACAGCGTTTGTTCCATGAGCCTTCAGCATCTAGGTTTCCAAACCTTCAGCTCTCCCCTCGCCGCGAGTGAATCGTAGAACATCCGCTTATAGGTCTACACGCTTCCAACCGACGTTGCCTCGTGCTCAACCGTTCGAAGCGACGAAAGATCACGGCGGAAACTTGACATTGGCTGTTCAGGGATGCAGCGATGCCTAAATCTCAAGCGAAGAAGAAGTCTCCTGCGAAGGGACTTGGTACCTCGAAGCCAAACACAAAAGCAGGAACACCAACCCCGTACGAGTTCAGTGGGCGTGACTCGATCAACATCAGCTCGTTTGACCTTGCGCAAGTCCAGGAATCACTGGAGCATTCCGATGTGCCTTCGATGCGACCGCAGCTCAAGTCGCCCAGACAATACCCTCGTGACTTGAACCACCCCATGGACTGGCAGCTTCTACAGCATGAATTCTTGATCTCGCGCCACAAGGCTTTGAGGTCGTCAGGTAAAGCCTCCTGGAACTCTTCGCAACAGTCACTAACACCTCTAGTACATTCTCATCCACCCACGTTACCTGCCCTCGAACCAACTCCGAAAGCTCCCGAAACTCTCCCGCTCGATGAATCGGCCAGCGATTCACGTCCCCCGTCGCCAGGCGAAAGCTCCACGGCATCTACAAAACCCTCAGTCCCAGAAATCCGCATATCCCCTCCCGAAGAAATGTCCAAAGCCTCCCGTCAGGCACGCCCTCCGATCGAGGACCCCGCCTACCCCTGGGAAGAAGAAGAGCTTCAGGCTCTGGAGGATATGCGAAACGAACAACGTCGCTTGCATAAAGAAACCCTTGACGCGATGGGGCAAATGGCCTACTGGTCCTTCAGAGCGCAACGTGCTGCGATTCGAGTCAAGAACACAATGTGTGACCTTAGGAGCTACATGGACGAGGTTTTGGCTGAGCAGGAGGGAGTTCAAGGCCATGAGGAGAACGAATGCACTGTCTTGCCTCTATCTTTTACGAAGTGAATTCGTTTTGAAAGATGGATCATGGCAATGATAGGGCTTGGCCCAAAGAGTCACGGCAGGCTTTGCTCCATAAGTAGATCAGTATAATCACGATTAATTGTAATTTGTTCCCCGTGCGTCTGGAGTTCCACTTGGTGAAGCTTACAGTGAACATAGCGCTTTGTGACGAAATTCGGGTGCACAAAGCTTCCAACAGAAAAAAGCCAAAAGCTGAGAACAAGCCTTCATAACTTAAACAGCATCCATGACGCCATTGATATTTTGACTTGACTTCATATCAATTCAAAATAAGCCTGATCTGATATGGTTCACCGTTTGATGGCGCTTCTACGGCCTCATGATGTCGCCTCTCGAGGTTGCTATAGGGTGGGATGCAGCTACCGGTCGGTTTGAATCCAACGCCCCAATCACGGACTCTTATGCAAGCTTGCAAATGTCCTTTTGGCTATTTAGTCGCGTCTTATCAATTGCCATTCAACGAAAGAGTACAGAGCAGCTTTGCCTTGTTTTCGGCTCCTGCTTGCGCGTTGATGGCCTCTCAGTATGGGATTTGTCTAGCGTTGACATCGACACAACCCTAGAGCAAACAACCGGGACAATCTTCATGTGACCGACGTGATTAGACGGCGGCAGATAACAACATGCAAGATGCGCATCTGCGAGTTTCTAATATGTACCAAGATCGTCTTCATGTGATATCTGTCCCGCAATGCCGGCTGAGGTACCCGGAGTGTGTGACCAAGCGCTGGCATTCGGACATGATACCTTTTACAGACCGCGATGCTCGTCTGATGGGCATACACGTTTGACATGCTTGCCTCTGTCCGGAATTGCCTTTGCGCAGCCTGATGTCACGCGTTAGAAGCTCATTTGTCGCGTTGTCTTGGTTGTGCGACATGCAGCACCTACTCCATTTCCAACCACCTGCAGCATGCTAACAGGCAGCACGCATGGCCAAACAATGTCGCAATCGACATACACAAGCAATGGTTTTTAGCTGTCACGATGCTCTTGTGAATGTGGAAAGGGATTTTAAATTTATGTCACCGGGCGCGCAAGAAAAGATGCGACTACCTTGACGTTTTGATCCAGCACCACACGATATTCGGCAGCTTGTCCTACATTTGTTCCTTCAAGACCCGGGCCAGGCCGGCTTATTACACGTGCTTGTATGTGGCAATGACACCGGAAATGCATGGCTGGTGTTGACATTGGCCATTAGCATCGTGATTGAGTGGTTGGCCGCGGTCCATGTGTTATGGTCACAGCAACACGACGCTGAGGTTCCAGTACCCGACGTTACAATCAGTACGACACGGACAAGCAACAGAGGGTTACATTTATTTGCTAGCCAAGATGGTGCACAAGCCTTGGCCCGCGATTGCTCGGAGGCCGCGAGGTGTCCCGTGTCGCGTACCTGGAGATCGGAGATCCGAGACCACTAAACCCTGTGAGCTTCACCACGATCAACAAGGGAAGAAGCAATCGCTTTGCCGTTACCTTCATTCCTTCATTTATCTCCCTTTTCTTCTTCTTGCGGCTTCAAACGAAGTCTCTGCCCCGCCTCACTCCCGAAGCGCGCACACGCAATGCCTCGCCAATTTACTGCCGCGTCGCAGCAGCCAGCCGTCAAACGGAAGCCGTCCCGAGCCAACGACGCACCCTTTCTTGCGCAGACGAGAGCAGCCTCCCGATCGAAAACATGATGCGGTGAATCTGGACGCGACGATGCATACAAGGCGGGGATACTGGTGAAATGGGAGTGACAGGAGTCAGCATGGCGCTTGTTGTTCAGGGTCAACAGCCTCTCCCAAGCATCATCGTCAATGCACGCGCGCGATCTGTCTCATGCCCTTCGGAAGTTCATCACCAAGTTCAAGTCACTCTAGTAGTCAGTCACCATGGAAAGCGCTTCCAATGCCCCCGTGAATTCGCCGCGACCGGACAACACACCTACATCGTTCCAACGAATGAATCGATCGTCGAATAGTGCAGCTGGTAGTAGCTCTAGACAAAGCGAAATGAACAGGTTGATTGACAACCTCGCTAACGATGTTGGATATCACGATGGTGACGGTATGTCGAGCCCAGGCGTTTCTCATCGAACGTGGATAATGATTGGGACGATGTTCAGGACTTACTTACTGACTTTCAACACTAGGACAACGCACTCGTGAGAATTCCCTTAAGTCCAGTGCGCGGAGGGGCGCGACACCGACACCAGCACAGTATGTGCCTGTCAGTAAGTACTGCTGCATACGATCTCAAAATACGCCCGTCGCTCATCAAAATACAACATGCTGACGGTTCGCAATAGCAGATCAAAGTTGGAGATTCCCTGGCGGTCGGGAAGCGAAAGGTGATTTTCTCTTCTGTGTTGCGCGTAGGGAGATGGACCGTCGACGCGACTCGCAGCCAAATCCGACCTATATATCGGAGGAGCGGTTTCCCATTGAGGAATTTCTGGATTGGAGGATAATAGATGGGGATAGTGTGGTGATCAAAGTGAGATGGGCAGATGGCAGCCCTGATACTGAGGAGCCGGAGGAGATCATGCACATCGACAGTCCCGAGACGCTATTGGACTTCTGGAGACGACATGGTGGTCGCGTTCGGGCAACTGGTCTACGAGAGCACCGCATACTAAGGGTGCTTAAAAGCAAGGAGTCCGAGAAAGACAACAGTGAGTTACTCCTGTGTGAATGGATTGGACTCCCTTACACCACTTGGATGTCTGGAGAGGAGGTCATCGATCTGGCTCTGGGCCAATGGTTGGAATTTAAAACGGGGGTTGATAATATCTTCGGTTGAGATGCTGGAAACTGCACTGTCCTGTACATATCATCTACTCGCTGATAGATATCTCTCTCGACCTCTGGTTCGCATTTCACTTGGGCTGTTGGCTATTTGATGGGCGGTCGGGTTCAGACGGTTGAACGGTGGAGCTGTCTGTTACTTAATGTTATGGGGGACACTTCAAGACATAACGTATCGCTTCCTCGGTCGCACCACTTATTACACTTTCTTACCGGTTTGCGAAAATTGTAAAAATAGTCGTAAGCGAACAATCAATTGGCAAGTCATTGGTTCCTCCATCGTAAAACCCCGTATCTTGATGGATCTGTTGTCCATTGCTAGGGCGGATGTTGCAATTTCCGACTGATCGACAACTACCGGGGCCCGCTAAGTCCCCTGTAAATGCTTCAAAATAAGTCAAGTCCCCTGTTGTGCTGTAGAATCGATGGACACGAATGTCCTGATACCCAGTGTAATGACTCGTCAGCGCCCAACAGTCAAAGGTTACAATGCCCATCGACCGTTTCACTACCTGGCGCGATGCTCTCAAGACTTGGCTTTTGCTTCACTCCATCTTTACCATGAGTTACACGTCGTTTTTGTTTCTTGCATCAAACATGTTCATGTGGCTGCCGCGTGGGCTACGGGCATCTTTTCCACTTCCCTACTGAGACATCTCTGCATTTCTTGCTCGCCTCACCGACTTGCAGCTGCAACCGTTACGGCAATAAGCAAGATGATCACCGCGGACCTAGGAAGTAGGAAATCCGGGCCGTTCCTTGTCAATTCTCACTGGCGTGAAACCTAACATACATAGCACGAGCCGTTGGGAGGCTTCGAAGCCGTTTCGCTATCAACGGTCCCTTTTAGAAAAGCCTCTCTCCTCATTCGCGGGCCCCCGGCATTTGCGTCGCACTTTTCTGCGGAGATCATGGACGATCTGTACAAAAATTACCGCAGAAAAGGTGTGTATCCCTGCCTGCAGGAAAACGTACCCTTGATCCCCGCTTACTTCGGCTCTTGTGATGCAGACCAGAGTTTTGCCGCGCTCGTACTTCATCTTATAGGCTTGAGCAAACAAGGTTGAAGCAGTAGGCCATCCTTCAGAGTCCAAATGGAGCATTATACCCCGTTGGAATACACCGTTGACGTTGCAACCCTCGACTGACTCGCAGCGATGCGATAGTCAAAGGTCCCTCTGTCTGACCCACGCATGTGCTGCCTTGTGTTGAAGATAGAACAAAGGTTTCATTGCAGAAGCTTACGCAGCATGTGAGGATGCTCTTTGGGACTTGGTGTTTTACAGTGCAAATCCCTCATATATAGAGCTTCCCCTCAATCCCTCTCTTCTCGCTGGATTGTACTGTTTCTGGCCGCTGTATCTGCCATCATGGGTCTCCTCTTGCTTCCAGCTGTGGTTCTAGCCGCAGTTATCGTGTACTACGTGCTATTCCCCAAGAAGAAGAGCGGTCTTGACCTCCCTCCTGGTCCCAAGCCTCTCCCCATTGTTGGTAACGTCTTTGATCTTCCGCCGGCTGGAACGGCTGAGTATAAGCACTGGGCCAAGTTCAAGGATCTGTATGGGCCCATTAGCTCTATCAATGTCCTCGGAACTCCCCTCGTCGTTCTGAATGACAGAGAGGCTCTTCATGACTTACTGGAGAAGCGGTCGACCAAGACCTCGTCCCGGCCTTGGTCACCCTTCGCAAGTGAGCTCTGTGGATACAGCGTATTCCTTCCTGTCATTCCCTATGGCAACAAGTTTCGATATTTCCGTAAGCTGGTGCACCAGCAGATGGGCACCAAGTTGATCTGTTCCGAGTTTCGCGACACTCAGGATCTGGAGTCACTTCGGTTCCTTGTGAGGACGATTGAGAGACCCGAGGAGTTCCAGAAGCATATCAAGACGTAAGTTCAGCCACGAGCAGTAGATTGAGCTTGCCCCGACGAAGCATCGGCTGACCACATTCACAACAGTGAAGCCAGCGCTATCATCTTACGAATCATTTACGGATACAACATTGAGCCCAAGAAAGTCGACCCTCTCGTCAGCCTTATCGAGAAGATGATGATCAACTTCTCAGACGCCTTTGTTCCTCTGTCCTGGGCCGTCGACATCGTCCCCAGCCTCGCCCGCCTCCCAGATTGGTTCCCCGGCACCTCATTCAAGAAGACTGCCAGAGAGTGGCGCAAGACCACCGACCAAGCATTGGACACCCCTTATAACTTTGTCATGGATCAGATGGCTAGCGGAACAAACCGACCGTCATATGTTTCTCAGCTTATGAGTAGCAAGTCATTCAAGAATGATAATGGTACTGGCGAACCTACCAAAGAAGATATCGAAGCTGTCAAGGCTACTGCGACTATCATGTATGGCGGTGGCGCTGATACTACCGTCTCGACTATCAGCAGCTTTGTTCTTGCTATGATTGCCTTCCCCGAGGTTCAGAAGAAGGCCCAAGCTGAGATCGATAGCGTCACTGGAGGCGAGAGACTACCGACCTTTGAGGATCAGGACCGCATGCCTTACATCAATGCCCTCTGTAAGGAGGCTCTTCGATGGATGCCTGTCGTCCCTACCACTACAACCCACGTTACTGAGGAAGAGATTGAGTACCGAGGATACCGCATCCCCAAGGGCACATACCTCATCCCCTCAACGTGGTGGATTCTCCACGACCCCGAGATCTACGCCAACCCTGATGCCTTTGACCCTGAGCGCTTCATCGCGCCCCGAGATGAGCCTGACCCCAGTGACTTCGCTTTCGGCTATGGTCGAAGAATCTGCCCTGGTCGATATCTGGCTGAGGATAGTATCTTCATGACAGTCGCTCGATTGTTGGCGGTGTTTAATATGCGCAAGGCTGTTGACGAGAATGGAAAGGAGATTGATGTCGTGATTGATGGCACGCCCGGTCTCATCAGCCACCCCGTCGAGTATGCTTACAGCATTACACCAAGAAGCGCTAAGCATGTTGGGATGGTTCGGGCTGCGGAGAGGGTGCATCCTTGGGAGGAGAGTGACTCTAGTCTATTGAAGAAGGATTCTCCTGTTTGAGTTTGTGTAGCTCATGAATAAGAAGCGTTTGAACTCAACCAAAAAAGACCCCAGAAATCAGTGTAATGTGTCACCCTGACGTGATGTTCACAGTCGCCAGTGATGCGCCAGACTTGCCCGAAAGTTCCAATACTGTTATTCAGCAACATCCATTGAGCTAGCATGACTCAGTGGCCTTTGCAAGAAGTCATACTGAAGAAGGATCGATGAGAGCGGGCATAGCTGATCAGATGTACCGCTTGATCTTGAATCAGCCACATTACTGTACATGACGCTGTGAGTAGAACGACCGAGTGATCAGAATCAGGGTTGATATGCGGCGTGAATGCTGAACGGGGAAGCCGCGAGAGATTGCTATAATTGCAGGTCAGCACCCGCCCTATCTTCTGACTAACAAGACAAACTGCACACTCACTACAAGAACAACACAAACAAACATCATATCACTTGAAAACCCACCAAACAATTTGATCATTCAATCATTCAACCCTTCACCATGTGTATCAACGTCGTCCCATATGGAGTATGCACCGGATGCGCGGAGCGAACTCAGTGGCCACATCAGGCAAAGCTCACTCAGTGCCAGCTGAGAAAGGACGGAAAGGCGTGCGTGAAAACCGAGCGACCTAAAGCCTGCGAATTTATTTGCCAGGAGTGCCATCAGGAAAGCCAAGAAAAGGAAGAGGATGGAGGATATAAGTATGGGTCAGCGCCTCTCCCCAACCCTTCTCAGTGATGGCCTATCTTTGTTAGGAGGAGGCGTTCTTCGGCGGAGGGAGTTGCTAGCGCGAGGTTTGCCTGAGAGGCTATAGAACGGGCATTGAGCCAGTTATTTGAAACCTTCTGAAATTCACTACTACTTGAACCCAGCCAAGGGAAAGCATACTGCCGTACGCCGTTATGTTGATATCGGCTTGATTGTAATATGAACCGTGATATATTCTAGAAATCCGCTTGTAAATTAAAATAACCAGTAACTAGTAGCTCTCTAGGGAAGATTCATGATACCACAGCCGCCAAGAAGTCTTATAGGTCAATCACGGCTTGACAAAGCGATACTTGATGTATGGAATCCAACCCTTGGGCATATCAATCTTCTGAGCAGTGAAAGTACAGGGGCTGAAGACAGGCCAAGTGTGATCTTTTAAGAACCCAGCCTCGGTGAATGTTTTGGTGACTTCTTTCCTGCAAGGATATTTGAACTCAAGATTGTACCAGCGATCATAAGACGCAGTTCCCCACTCGACCACCATCTTGTTACCTCGGAGAGGAAACTTGAGAAAGTCATTGTCGAAAGCATCTATGGCATTGATGAGGGTAGTGAGCGAGCCTTGAAGTTCTTTCTTGAGGTGACCCTGGATCTGGATGAAGCCATCACGAACCTTGCGTGAAGCCGCAGTCTTGGAGAGCTCGGCGTTGTTCTTCCAGTTTTGAGTAAGCTGAGCGTTGATCTTCTTCAGGGTATCACGAGATCTCGACTCGTGCTTGGTAAGGAGAATGAGAGGAGTAAGGTTTCTCTTGATGTCGTTGGCATACATGCTGATTTCAGATGTGACAGTACCGTAGCCATGCATAATGCCGCGAAGCGTGTCGAACCTTCCATCATCCATAATATCAACAAGGTTGTTAGGGACCAACCACTGTGTATCGAGGTTGTAGGCGGCCTGAATGTTGCCCAGGAAGTTGTAATAGATGAACTTGCGCTTCTCGTCGGCAGAGTTGGCAGCGGCGATGATGTTGTTGAGGTCCTTGACGGCCTTGAGAGCGGCAGATACTGTGAGAGTTAGCAGTGAAAGACCACGCAGAGCGGAATAGTGACTAACCATTGTTGAGGTATGTAGAAGCGGTCTTGCCGGAGCAGGCGTTCTTCTGACAGATACTCTTCTTGATCGAGTCAACCTTGGTTGAAACAGTCTTTGCGCGCGTTTGGACAGTGGTTGCAGCATTCTTGATGGCCATGATTCGGTTCTTGTAGGGTGTAGCAAAGGTCTTTTCCCAGTCGGCGAGCATCTTTGACATCTGGCCGTTCTTGATCTCGGTACCCTTGGGAATCCACTCAGAAAACCATTCTAGGACGGAATCGAGTTTGTCTCCACTGCATCCATCGGGATCGCATTTATTAAGGCGCTCGACAAGATCGAAGTAACTCTTTGTGTTGATCTATAGCCCCGTCAGTTACTCGCTGAAGCTCAGGTGAGGGATGCATGATGGCGGACCTCTGCTGCCTTCTGTACTACCCATCCATCCTTGTTGGCAAGTTGGTTGGAAAGAACAGTGCTCCTGGTGTTCCCGTACTTGAAGCCGCGATTGGCGAACTCCTGTTTGGGATTTAGTATGCATCAGATGAGATGACGATGGAGAGAGATCAACCTCTTCAGCGCTGTTTGCAGTGGCCAGAGCAACCCATTTGGCTCCCTTGAGTTTACCGTCCACCCATACAGAGCGCTCTGTCTTGACTTCCTTGATAGCTCGGGGCGCTTCTCTACAGTATGCTGTGTAGCCGCCGACGAAGCCATCATTGCCCATGGCATCGTCGATAAGGTCGCAGATGTTGCGGTTATTGGTCAAGATTTGAACGCCACAGGGGCTGGTGTCGAAGCATGTTGTGATAGGCTCTGAGCCGTATGGGATCTGAAAGTACTCGTCGCAGCCGTAGGTTCCTTCGGTGGATTTGCAGATAGCGTCGAGACTCTGACCAGGTCCAGCAAGGACCCTGGGGAAAAAGGCCGAGGCAAGAAACGGGAGGGATTGATAGCGACGCATTGTTGACTGCAATTGAGAAAGTCGTTTTGATCACAGAAACACAGACGAACCATGATCGGAATCTTGGTGGGAAATAAACAGTTAAAATTGACGACCCAGGCCGGGCTCAGTAGCGCATGATGCATTTTCAGCTCCAAACACCAACTTTGATTAGCGATATTCAGCCCTGGCAGTCTAACGCGCCGCCACAACTACTAACTCATTCCACCTTACGGAATTAGACACTTGTGATCACGATGACAGGGTTCTTGATTTGCTGCTGGTTCTGGTTTAAGCGAAGCTACTTTTTAACCTTATTTATTCAAGCCACGAGACCGGTCCAGACTGACGGTTTTAACGCTATTGCTCTGTTGTCTCGGTTGTTCAGTATCCCTTACGTGAAAGGCTAGCCCAACACAGACAAAAAGGGTCTTTGGTTGAGGGATTCTGCCTTGCCAGATCAGGGTTATTCCTGTTTTTGAGTCGGGATGGTGTCCACACACTGGAAAGAAGACCGCCTAGACCAGCTGGATTCATGTTTGGGCGCGAGAATGGTTGGCTCTTTGACGCAGAAAAAGGGTTCTGCAAGGATTAGAAACGACAAAAAAAGACTCAAGCCTGAGGTGTGGATAATCCAAGCCTTGAGAGCGTATCGCAAGGGCTACAATAGAGTCGGATAATGTGCATCATGCCCTGACCCTCCTCAGCCCTATGGACTAGTTAGCGCACTGCCTTTGCTCAAGAGCGTGAACCCCATCAAGGCGCAGGTACTCGGAATTATCAGCATCCGTTTGGTGTGGCTTGTAACCGTTTGTGTCTTGAGAGGTAGGCACTGTAATCTGGTAAATGATCCTTCGTTGGGTAGCATCGACGGGTCCTGACTTGAGTTGAGGGCTCATTTACTAGACTCTTGCACTCCATTGTATAACTGTACTTGGAATAGATGGGTTTTGCTAGAACATCCTTCGATAAGATAGTAAAGAGGAGGACTTGTGAATTTTGTATTGTGTATGGAAACATAGGGGCAAACCTAGCATCGTTCGCTATCTGTCTTGAATGAAGTGAGAAAATCTATATTTTCGGTCGCCCTTTCTCTTGCATCTCTATTTTATTCAGTGTTTTATTCTCAGTATAAGCTACAGCCTTGAAGATTTAATTGCCAGACTAAGGTTGGTGTTAACGTAGTGTACAATTATAACCCAGCTTTCAAGGCGACTCAAGAGGCAGGCAGCTGCAAACAGCTGCAAACAGCTGCAAAGAGCAAGCAAACAGGTAGACCTTGGATTGTAGTCTTACGGCAAACCTGAAAATTCTAAGAAAACAACCCACAAACAAACACGGCTTTGACCCACTTGCCCTCCTGGCCTACGTCCTCCTTTATCTGTCATCTTGGAAACCTAGAATTTGCATCACCTGAGCCCAAAACTCAACAAAATCATCTTAATACGTTACCATCACCACTACCAAGACCACCAGTGAGACAGACATGGAGTTCGGGTGGGAAGACGGCCATGCTGCTCTCATGAAAGAGTTGGAAGCTGCCATGAGCAAAGCAGCATTAAGCAAAGGTCAACTTGTAACTGACCATCCAGATCCTGAAACTCTTGCCGAGGAATTCCGACAGGAAACTTCGAAACACAACGGCACACGAGAGAAGAAACCCATCTACGTCACTCAGATCCAAGATCCCTACGAGCCATGTCTAGACCCTGAGAAGGACCTTGAACTAATGTCTATCTCTGACATGAGACTCCAAACTCATCACCGCGGCAAGAAGGTCTTGCTTCGGGTGAAGACCGCACCCGCTTGGGCCGCGGCTATCATGACCATCGTGGAAGATCAAGAAGGGATAGCAGTCCTACTAGCGCTTCATCAACAGCTCCAGGATGACTTGTTGACCATTAGACACCCTGCTCAAGACTCCGTGGCCATCGTCAAAGATCCCTTCTTTGAGAAAATAGCCGAAGGGACTTATTCCCTAAAAGTCTACCACCCAAGCGACATCATCTGGCTGGAAGAGGACGACAAGAGAATCCCCGAACAATGGAGAGTCCAGAGAGAAATCAAGAGTAGCGCAGAATATCGTGCCGAGGGAGAAGAGCTTGCGAGCAAGGAGCGCTGGCTGCCCGCACTACACTCGTCAGTTTCTTTATGATCTTCATGCCAATGACGTTACTTCTAACACAATACAGATACACCTTGGCTATTAAAACAGCATTGTCAAAAGATGACCAGCAGCAAGCATATCTTGGCCGTTGCGAAGTCAATCTCCAACTCGATCGCCCTGATCAGGCGATGAATGATGCTCTCAAAGGAGATGACGCTATAGGTTTGACCGAGGAGTCCTTGATTCTTCAAGCCCGCGTACACTACAATCTTGGGGAGTTCGACGAATGCCTAGGGAAGCTTCAAATTCGCGAACTAGTGTTTCCCAAAAGCGTGCCTCATTGGAGTATGAATTCAACCGTCTCGAAACGACTCAAGGAGCAGAACGACGGCAAGTATGTATTTGAAGACATGCTTCTTCAAGCTCAAGAGACACCTCCATTGATCGACTGCGCCACCTTCTCCTGTCTTGTCGAGATCCGCGACGCCCCTGGCCGAGGCAAAGGGCTCTTCCTCACCGAGGACGTATCTGCTGGAGATTTGATACTCTGCGAGAAGGCGTTCTCATACTGTTTCATGGATGGAAAGAGTCATGAGACATATCCCATTTTAGGGAACGTGCCCCGTAATGAAGTGAAAACTGGTGGCTCTGTTCACCTGTGGGCACAAGTCACCCAGAAGCTGTATCACAACCCACAATACCTTGTTACCATCCAAGAACTCTTCCACGGCGACCATAAGAAGCTTCAGATCACTCGACTTGACAACAGGACTGTTGTTGACTCGTAAGTACATCTCCACCGCGACGTATTGTCGGAACACTTACTAACGTGGTTGTAGCTTTATGGTAGAAAGAATCATTCACTACAACGCAGTGGACACTCCGAAGACTACAAGCAATGACTTCGAAACCAGGGTGTTTAGCAGGAAAGGGGACTCCCTAGTGATCGACAACCTAGACACCAAGTTCTCAACTTCAGGGATCTGGCTCCTCGCTTCCCGAATCAATCACAGTTGTATCAGCAACTGTCGGCGTTCTTTCATTGGCGACATGCAGATCATCCGAGCTACACAACATATGTCCGCCGGGACGGAGCTACTTCTCTCCTATCGTACTCCCTACGCCTTCGAGTCCTACGAGGAAATGCAGACGCGCCTCTCAACTTGGGGCTTCAAGTGTGCCTGCGATCTATGCAAGAGTAGAAGTAAGGAAAGTAAAGCTACCCTGGAAAAGCGGCTTAAGATCTACCGCGAGGCTTCAGATCTTCTGAAGACTGAAGTGCTTCAATTCAACTTTGCCAAAGCCAGAACGCTTCTGAACCAACTGGAGAATACCTACAAGGGGAAGTCCGCCAACAAAGTCCGACTAGAGCTTGCAGAACTTTGCTTTGCGATGTGCGATCGCTACACAGATTCGATAATGCCTGGTGATTTTGTAAAGATGACTGTGAAGTCACTCGAGTCACTGGGCTTCGTTATTGTCGCGTATGTCCCTGGCCAAAAGCCCGACGACTTTCGATTCCAAGTGAACAAATGGGGCATATCGACCAACTATGTCGTTTACCTGTTTCTCAATCTGGCCCACCTGTACGGTGTAGTATCTCGACCGCTCTCCTTAAAAGTTCTCGAATACGCCCTTGTCTCGTACACAATGCTCGTTGGCGAAATGGGCTCGATGTCACGGTTGTTCCCGGACGCCCTTAAGCACTTCATGTAAGAGGAATTGCTTTTGTACTTACACCAGACCGAATGTTCAGAGTTGAGTACATCCTGTAGGCGCCCCTATAGATTGGGATGAACAAAGCAGTGGAACAGATAGCCATCGCTTTGAAGCAGGAAGGAAGGACAGGGGAGAGGGAATGAATGTAAATTAGCTCCGTTGTTGCTAAAGAATGAAATAAAGACGAGATCTCCCCTCAAGATATGTACACCGCACGAAGCACCATATATGTCCCCAGCGATCACCCTGGCCCCTCTCGCAAAGGCTTCCAGACTCTTAGGCGCTATTAACGTTGACATAGCACAGGACCCATCCAAACGGAACAGGGTTGAAGAGGCTGATATGAGCAGGAGTCTTCTTTGTGAAAGCAGCGCTCCCAGGCTGTGTACCAAGGCTGTCCTTGTACATCTGACAGGTCACCTTGTCGGGATCGATCTTCTTGCCATTGGGGAGAAGAAACTGAACGCCGCGGAGCTCAAGATCCGTGATTTGGTAGTCGATGTGCGTAAGCTTGCCGAAAGGAACATCGACGAACTTGTGAGTGTTTTGGTCTCGGTTGAAGGCATAGACGCTGGCTGTTGCGAATGTTTCGGTCTTGGGGGCAGCTGCTGCGGTAGATGCAAGGGTCGCGACCGCGGTGGTGATGATGGTGGTGAAGTGCATGTTGACGAGGAAGTTGGTTGATTTAGAGTGGAAGTTGATAGGAAACCGAGAATTTGTATTGAAGTAGTGTGTGAGAGGTTGTTGGTTGAGTTGGATTGCGATGGAACACTGAGCATGACGAGCCTCTTTATATTCTTGAGGAGCTTTGAATGTCCTCAGTCATGGTTACCTCCTCACTATTTTTAGTCAAGTAAGCTTCCTACGGTTTCGATACGGGCCAACCTCCTCGTGTTGACTGTATATCCTGTGGACCATTGAACACGGTGTAGGCAGTATTCAAAGCATCAACGAAAGAATAGTCAGCACTTGTTTCCAACACAGTACCTCGAATCCATTTCCCGTATTCAATGTTATGCCTCCCTGGTCACAATACACATTTTGAGGCTGAATGACTTCATGCATGTCGATCCTCTTCCATAATGGTGTTCAGAATAATTTTGTGCCAATGGCGATGAGGTAGTCAGCAATGGTACCTCGTGTCCTGGTCGATCATATGTCAGATTTGAGCTGCTCGTCAGCCCAACCCATCTAAGCCATGTAGCTCACTGCTTACTTGAGAAATTGCCGAGAGTCCTTGGCGGCTATGAGGTAGTGATGCGCTTTCTGTATACGAACTTGACAGCATACGGATATCATCATAGATATTTTCAGGCGCGGTGTTCGGCTTTACCCGTGGAAGAACACTTGTAACCACTCATTTAATTCTTCCTTTTTAATGCAGACCTTGGATATCACTTCTAATAGACTATAATTCTCTTCAGTAGATTGCATGACACAACGACCTCCACTTTTCTTCCTGATCTCTACTGGCCTTAGTTGCACTGTCTGAGGAACATGGCTAAGAATGACTAGGGCCGAACTCTTTTATTCAAGGTTTTCTTCAAATACCCGTTGGTTCAAGCCAGGGGGAGACCAACTAAGCCAGCTTAGTTAGGCACAAAACCTTAAGACATGCACAAAACGCTGAGACGGCTAAAGACCACCAAAATATCAGAATTACAGTATATTTTTAAGTAAGTTTAATAATTAATAACTAATTAACTAAAAATCCTATATAAATAATATAAATACTAAGAAATAGCTTAAAATTAGCTCTATAAGGATCTATTTTTAGAATATTTTTTAACTATTTTATTATATAGTTTCTTTTAAAGGTAAAGTTAGGTAAAAAAGAAAGAAATTTTATTTTTAAAAATCTTAGGAAAAATAAACATTTTTTAAGATTATTAATTCTATAAAAATGCTATATAAATACTATATAAATAAAAAAAATATCTTTAAATAGAGCTTTTTTTATAGAATTCTATTAAAAATATCTTATTTTGCTAACTAAGCTAGCTATATAGTTATTTAGAGATATATCTATTTTTTTTAGCTACATATAACTTTTACACTTAAATTTTAGTGCAATCGACTGTCTCAGCGTTTTGTGCATATCTCAAGGTTTTGTGCCCAACTAAGCTGGCTTAGTTGGTCTCCCCCCGGCTCGAACCAACGGGTAACCCCCGTGCAGGTCGCCGAAGTATATTGATGCGTCTGTTCTCGGCCAAAGCGTGAAAAGATATCACTTGCAGTATCCAACATTGGGATCAGAACTAGATGATATCATGTTAGGTTAGGCAAGGTGTACAAATGCCATCTTCAAGGTTCAAAGCTCACCTGAATTCCCATCCAGAGACACTGCTAACCCCTCCCTTATCACAACCACGAACTTCGTTGCCTAGTCCGCCAATACAGTGTTCGTCCTGAAGGTCGAATGAATCGCGGGTGTTTTGGTTGGTGATGGCGAATTCCCACTTGAGGTTTTCACCGGCCCTGACGCAGAGGTACTTTCTCTCACCGGGTTTGAAGACACCAGTGAAAACGCCGCCACGACAGGCTGCTTCGACATGGCCTACAGCCAAGTCCTTGCTCGACCAATTGATACCGCTGGTGAAGCACTTGCCAGAGACTCCAGTGAAACTGAAGGTGGACAGTATGATGAGTGAGGGAAAGGTGATGGGGATTTGCATATTGGAAAGCTTTGTTTGGAGGCTTGATATTGAAAAAGGTAGAAAAGATTGAAGATCAGAAGATAAAGAAAGTGATTTCACACTGGCAAAAAAATGTATTTTATATTTCATTGTTCGTTGATCAAGCTACTCTACAACAGTAATGCTCACAGATTTCCATGTCCATACTAGCAGGGCTTCGACAGGGGAGGAATCATTTAGTTGTTCTGGACCTTCAGCCTGCTTCATCAGCAAGGGGCAAGTAAGCTGACTGCATACTCATTTATGGCCTTTGTCCGTAAAGGGCCGTACTCAAAGCCCTGACCTTCCGATTCAGTACTATTTTGATACGTGATGATTTTTTCTGCCCCGTTGCTCTTGGGTAATTTTATCCGGGCGAAGGGTTCCATGCATCTCGAATAGCCTGAGCCCTTGTCAAGGTGAGTGCATAAGATTTAGGATATAGCGAGGCCAATATCCACGGGTAGACTAGACGTGGCAACAGGCCGACTTGGTACAAGATTACGAAAAACTAAGGAATCAATTTCAGTAGATAAAAACTTAATCTTATAGTAAGCAATCGGCTATATGGCTAACTAATCAAGTATCAAATCTGTCTGGACTTTAATAGCCGAAAAGATGATGCCAGGGGCCTATGATACAGTTGCTGAAGGAAAATGGAAATGGTACAATACGTCGAAATAAGCTTGAAAATACAAGATGCAAACAAAATTTCGTTTTTAACCCAGGGTTCAGTGCTGTAAATAAGCCTACGTTGTATTCGGGAAAAGCCAAGAAGTCCGCCGTGAAAGATCTACAGCCGTGCCGGAGTGGATCACCAAAAGTTCCCAGTCAGCCTAACCGCCTCGTTTCGGCAGCTCCTATGCAATATTGACCCACTGTGTTCTGGTGAATGGGCCTTGAGCCGAGGCCGAATTTTTCGTGATGCTTGGATTTGCTGAAGCGCTCTGTGATGCTACGCCAAAGACATCGTCGGATCTTACTCAGACATATGATACTACCTACCTAAAAGGAAACTTGACCGGAAGATGACTTGAGAATTGTTTACCAAGTCGAGAAATTGCCTTGGAGAATTTTCATATAAATACATGCTATAATCCAACTCAAAGTCAACATTCTCAAGCCCTCAGCATTCTAAACACCCAGCCAATCTCACATCCTCTTCAAGTATGCATTTCATCGTCAGTCTCGCCTCTCTCATGCTCTTGGGCAGCTCCGCCATTTCTGGCGTTGAGGCCACGTGCTTCAACAGTGGCATTACCTGGCCAGGTGGCCTGAACGTCTTCGTCACGGACGTTGAGCGTGAATGTCGCCGTGGTGCGTTTACGGGCACGTTCCGTCCTGGCGAGGTCAAGTACAAGTGTATCCAGTACGGAAGCGTTACCAAAATGGAGTACTCCATCACGAACAAGAACACCAGAGATTCCTTCGATCTTCAAGATGAGCATTGCATTGGTGGATTAAGTGATGAGATCAGAGGCTGCAGCCGGGGAGGTTCGTCCGAGAAGTCAGGATGGGTTTTCACGTAAGTCTTTTTTCTCCATTCATCCGAAGACATCATGAGAGACGTGAGGACTGATCAATTATACTTAGCTCCGACCCTAATGAGGGCCGCTGTTAGGGAGTTGCCACATCGCCTTTGAGCCTCGAGGCTTAACCTTCCAGACGTTTTCCCTAGATTTCGTGGAGGGTTACACTTCAATATCTTAGAGAGACATCTGTCAGAGAACTTACATTAAGCCCAAGACTCGGGAGCGGTTGTGAAAAGTTGGAGATTTCAAGAAGAAACGTCGGATGGCTGCCACGAGTTAGACACATAAGCACTGTTTGCCAAAGCCACTTTGGAATCATTTTATATAGGCCATATCACATCCAATACATTCACTTGCATCCGTGAGAATATTGGCATGTTAATTTGTTTCTTAATGTTCCAAAACACGCAGTGACAAAGCAGGAAAGGTCAATATTTGGCTCTGATTCTGCTTATCTATAGGTAACTGAGAGGAAGGCAGCGAAGATAGCCAAATATTTATCAACACGAAACCCTAAACTCGAATCGGATGAGTCGAGTGAAGTTATCAAGACGATAGTGAATTGATTGCGGGGGCCAATCGGTCATCTCTTAGAGATTCCTGTTTGGTGCAAGCGCCATAAGGGCAATCTGATAGTCTCTTTGATTGGACGGGCTTCCGTAGAGCACACCAAGACGCTCCACTTCTCGTACATTGGGCTTGATAGGATGGGCGCCAGCAACAGACGGATATATAGACATGGCATTCCCCTTCTCCAGACTTTATTCTTTTATTCTCAATCATAACAAGCAATGGCGTTACTCTCTCCTTATTTTCTTGCTGGAGCAGCAGCGCTCATCTTTATCGGCGTTCTCATCGTTCGTCTGCGTTCACCTTTGGCTTCACTGCCAGGACCTCGCCTAGGTCTTCTGACGCCCTGGCAACTGAGGTATCATGAGCTCCGTGGAAGAAGAACACAATATGTTCATCAAATGCACCAGAGATACGGGAACGCAGTCCGTGTAGCCCCAAACGAGGTTGTCTTCTCGTCACTGGATGCGATGAAGGAGATATATCTGTCCAAAGGTAGTGGCTTTGATAAGACAAGTTTCTATAACCTCTTCTCCCAGTTCGGGCTCCGGTAAGTTGACACTCAGTATCACTATGACATATCAAACTCACAAAAGAAAGAACCATGTTCTCAACCCTGCCAAAAGGCCCAGTAAGTCACCAAATGCCCTTGGAACCAGCAAAACACTAACGACTGGTGCCCGTACAGCACAGCCAGAGGCGACGAGTAATCGCCGACCGTTACGCAAACACCAACGTCAACCGCGAAGCCTCTCTACACGGTATACAAGAAAGATCACAAAACTTTATGGCTCGTTGCAAAGATGCTCCAAAGCAGGAGCTTGACGTTTATGTATGGCTTCTTGTTTATTTCTGTCCTTCCTGCCTAACGTGGAGTAGATGTTCCTCCACTGCTACGCGTTTGACTGCGTCACGCATCATCTGTTCCATCCTCATGGAAGTGACTCAATTCTTCAAGCATCAGACGAAGAAACACTCCATGAGGCGGTATTTGACAACAGCCTCGTTAGTAAGTATCATCAAGAACCCTAGAGGGTACAGAACTGACACAAATGCCAACAGGAAGACTCTTGAACTATTACCACCCGACTCTTGGTAGCGTTGCAGGCAAGCTGGGCCTGTTCGGAAAGTCGCGCGGTATTCCTAGAGCTACAGAGCTCGTGCTCAAAGGTGTGAAAAAGGGCGGCGTCGCTGACTTTACACTGGTGAGTCGCATGCAGGAAGAGAAGTTCGGCATGGGCACCTTTGACATCGCGTCTGAATGCATGGATCACATGCTTGCTGGAATTGAAACCACTGGTGATGCGCTGTGCTTTCTGATGTGGCAGATCTCCCAGCCAGGTTATACCTTCATTCAGGAACGCCTGCGAGATGAGTTTAGAGCCAACCCTGAGGTTCCTTCAGATCAACTTGAGTACCTCGAAGCAGTTGTTAAAGAGGGTCTCAGAGTCTTCCCCTCGATCCCTATGAGTTTACCCAGGTGCGTCCCTCAGGGCGGCGCCACTGTTGATGGGCATTGGCTTCCTGGAGGTACTATCGTGAGCTGTCAGCCATACTCCATGCATCGAATGGACGAAGTGGTATTCCCTCGCCCAGATAGCTTTGAGCCGCAAAGATGGCTTGAGGAGAAAGGCTCAGCCGAGCGAAACCGACTGTTCTTTGCGTTCTCTAATGGAGGTCGCGCATGCATCGGAAGGCAGTGAGTATACGAGTTCTCTGTCGACGACATTGGCTAACCCATTATCCAGTCTTGCTATCGTCGAGATGAAAACACTTTTGAGAGACATCTATTCACGATATAGAACAGCGCCGGCGGATGGTATGACTTTTGACATGAGCATGGATGACCAGATCTTCACATCTCGACCGAAAGACCAGAAGTGCCTTATGAAGTTTATCGAATGGGATTGAAGTTGATGGTTGTGAATGCTGGAAGGGCTGCTGTCGAACTTTGACTTAGAAGTTAGTGCCCAAGGAGGGCGGCAGTTTAGGTTCAATTGGATACCGATTTGTTTTCTTCAGTAACAATGCGAAGGCTTCACCGTAATTTTGGAGATATGATGCATATGTTGATGTTGCATTGACACAGAGAATGCTTTGGAAAATGAAATTCAGCCCATTATCATGATGAATCCCAGCAGTTCTCAGTTCAGGGGGACTAATCTCATTCTGGCGTTAGTGTAACCCTGCGGGGACTTCCACCAAGCCCATCTCGCTGGAGCCACTCTCCAAATCATCAACAACGCATCCCGATCAGCCACGAACATAACAATGAGCGTTCTAGCTCCAGATCCTCCGAATTCGTTACCAAGGAAGACCAGATCCCGAGGAGGGTGTGTGCGATGTCGCCGCCGACGGCAAAAGTGTGATGAGGGTAAGCCCTCTTGCGAGAGATGTATCGAGGCTGGGAGCATCTGCAAATACGAAGTCACGCTTCGTTGGGGCGGAAGATCTTTCGCGAAGTCTACATTCGGAAAGTGTCTTGATCATATCGAAAGAACGGGTATGTCCATTAAACGAAGACTCGGGTGAGCACTCACTTATGCTAGTTTAGAAGACACCTCGACAGGCAATGGCTTTGTCTACAGCACGTCTCACGCCCAGTCGCCCACACCCAGGGCATCGCGGAGGACCACATTGACGCGGCCAGATGTCGACCATGAACGAACACTCCAGTACTCGGCAGAAAGTCATACACGGGATGGGCATTTGACCGCCACCAATGCCTCATTGACGCTGAGAAGCGATTGCATTCCTGAGGTTTCTTTAAGGGTTCGATCTCTGGATAGTACAACCAGCTCGTTGCACGAGTTACAGGCACCCGTTCCCCGACCGCAACATCAGATATCCTTTCTTCCACCCATGGCTCAATACCTCTTCCAATTCTACCTCTCCGAAACGATGAGACTTACAGTCCCAAGTAGCTATGCTAAAGCAGAGATTTGCCGATTTCTCGTCCCGATGTCGCTCCAGGAGCCTAGCTTACTCTACGCCGTGATGGCATTCGCCGCTGTTCATCTCGATGCTATCGGTATGCTGCCTGGAAACTCGCAACGACTTATCGACAGTCTCCATTGGGCGAGCATCAATCATCTTCGAAGATTGCTAGAAGCTACCGACTCTACGTCACAAACTGTGGCGTTGGCTACCACTAGAACACTATGCCAGGCTCAGATCTACGGTGGAACATCATTATGGCGCATTCATCTCGATGGCGCACGTGCTATCCTCCAGAAAGCCCAGAAAGGCCAACAAGTGACGGGAAGGCCTCATGTGCCTGTGAACACAGGGTTCCTGGATAGTTGGTTCCATAATGCGGAAGCACTAGCTTCCTTGAGCCCTGCTGGGCTGCTCGGTGGTCAGCTTCTTGCGAACGACCAGACTGACTCTGGAGGATTTCTCGACATTTATGGTGGCGTCATGTCTGATCTCCCTGCATTATTCAAAGAAGTCGGAGCTCTCTTAACAAAGAAGCACATATACACATCTCGCCTCGAACTCGAAACTGAGAATCTCATTCAACAGATACACGCAAGGCTTTCTCGTGACAAAGCCGAGGATATGATCATAGCACCAGACATGCTCTCGTCTCTCTCTGCGAATGACATCCAAAACTACGCCCTCAGCAACGCCGGGTTTCTCTACATGGCACTCTTGCACTTGTACTGCAGCATGAGATCTTTGTCTCCTTTCGCAGCCGAAGTCCGCTTCTGCGTTGCCCAAATAATCCAGTGCGCCCATAAAATGTCTCGTGAGTCCGGACTCTCACCGAGGGTACTGTTAGTCTCACCCTTATTCACCGCCGGGCTTTATGCTATCGGATCTGCACGGGATGAGGTCAGGCTTGAGCTGGCAGACATCGGAAGATGGATGAAGACTCCTCATCTGTTCAAGACATTGGAGCTATTGGAAAGAGTTTGGCTTCAACACCCCGATGATTCGGCGCGCACTTGGGAAACGATTCAAGATATCAGCGTCGACTTTCTTCCATACTAACAGGCAATTATTTGAGGGGCCTCAAAGCTCTTAAGCCGACAAGGACAGTATAGAGGCATACTAGCCCACCACATGGTTGGCACTATACTCTCTCAGTTTCAACGACGTTGAGCTCAACGCTCAACTTTCCAACGGCCTCTCCGACACCAGGTTCCTGCACTTTGTAACCTCGGAACTTCCTGGCGGGCAGCTTCTCGTTGAACTACACAGCATAGTGAGTAATTTTGCCTTGGTCTCTGCTTCGATATCAGGTTGCTTACCATGGCGTCGATTTCTTCCAAGGTTCGTCCCTTGACTTCAGGCAGGTAGAAGTACACCCAAACAGCGCTAATGATGCACGAAGGGAACCAGATATAGCCATATCTTGGTCCCCAATTCAACGCAACGGGGTTGATAAAGTACGGAGCGGTGAACGTGATCAGCCAAGCACCAAGGAATCCTGCTGCTGCGGCAAGGCCGAAGGTGTAGCTTCGAAGGCGTTGTGATGGAATTTCGCCAGCAACGAGCCATGAATATGGAGCAATCATGCCCTGGATGAGAAGGTCAGCAACGCAGCCTTCGCATAGACATCGGTGTACTCACATTGAAAGCCATCATGTAGAAGCATGAAAGCGCAACTAGTACCTTACCGGTGACGATTGCACCTGGGTTGTGATCATAGACGATCGCGATGATCAGTTGGAAGAAGCCGGCCGTTATGAGGCCACAAAGGAGTAGCACTCGCCGCCTTCCATACCGTACAACGATACAAACATTGGCGATGATAGCAAGCATACCTGCCATGCTGAGAACATTGCTCATTGCAAACGGGTCTTGGACTTTAGCCATGGCAAAGAAATAGGCCTTGTAAGCTGCGTAAAGGTCAGTTGCGTATCCCTTGGGCGATAGCGGGGGTGGTTACCGATGATGAACATTGATCCAGTGGCAGCTTGGAGGCAAACCGAACAGATGGAGATCTTGGTTCGCCTTCTATCGATCGGGTTGTTAAACATATCCAGGATACCGACACCGTTGGACAATGCACGCTCGTTATCAATAGCTTGACGAATATCTGCAAGCTCCGCCTCGGCATCTGCACCCTCTGGCCTGAGCCACTTGAGCGACTTGAGGCCATCTTCGTAACGTCCTTGAAGAACAAGCCACCTTGGCGACTCTGGAATGAACGGCAAGCCAACGAATATGATAGTTGGAACTATGTATATCATTCCGAGAGGGATGAGATATGCAGAGCGATCAGGGCGTTTTGCTGTCGCCCAGTCGATGATGGTGCCGATGAGTGTGCCCTATAAACCACGAGTCAGTATCGATATACTCTCCATACTGTCTGATAGGAGTACTGACAAAGGTTGTACACAGATGAAACACGGTCAAGAACAAACCACGATACTTTGCTGGACTACTTTCTTGGATGTAGAGTTGGGAGAAGGTCATGAAGTAGCCGTTGGCCAACCCAATAAGAAGTCGACCAACGTACAGCGGCCCAATATGTGTCGTGGTCATCATGATGATGTTCGACACTGCGCAAAGAATGCAAGCCATCCAAAGACACATCTTCCTTCCAAGTTTTGCGGCAACGAACCCCGCGAGACTGGAGCTTATGAAGGCGCCCATCGTCATCAGGGAGGAGATAAGCTGCTGTCGAGTGGTGTCGATGTTCCATCCGATTGCGACTCCGGGGTCTCGGTAGCCATAGATCTGATCAAGAGCGATGGTCAGTACAAAGCTTGGATGCTTGCCAAACAGCATGGGATACAGATGCCTACCTTGAGAAAGCCAGGCATAGCTTGAAGTCCACCAATCAGCCCAAAGTCAAGGCCATACTGGAAAGGGGAGAGAACAATGATTCCGCATGCTACGAAACATCGCCAGTGGGCACGAATAGTATCCTTCGATGTGTCTGCCATGATGAAGAGACAGATGGAGTGAGAATGATCAAATGAATCGCGCAGTCAACCGCGCTGGACGGTTCTGCGGGTACGGTTTCCTTTCATACTGGAGGTCAACTGGGCAGACTTGGCCAATCACCTTGCAATCGCTCAACAAGACACAAAAACATCAAAACCTCTTATCACTAGCTACATTGATGAGTGTTGGCGCTCAACCGAAGTGCGGGGTGCATAATTGATTCCGCTTAGAGTTGCAGATCAAGTCAGAGTTGCACTCGGTCGTCAGCCTGAAAGTGCGGAATGATTGTTGTCTCTTTGGGTTATCGGCGTGTTTCTTCCGGAGAGTTGCACTCGCGTGTTAACTTCGGCGGTATGGATCCGATGGGAGGCGTTGGCAAACTAAACCCAAAGCCACAAAGTTATGGACTAGCACCGGCCTTGCATCAACTTTATCCAACAAGATGTGAAGCCTAATGGAATTGCCAAGCGCTTCCCCCGCAATATGAGAGTCATGCTGAAGTTTTAGTCTCGTCTTGCATGAGTTTTCAGCTCAAGTTAGGAGCCATCGCAACTGGCTTTGCTGCTAATTCCCGAGCCCAATGCCGGTGACCAGGGTAACGTTTTCCCCCTCGTCATCCAGACTGGCACTGATTGCCACGACATTGCCTGACAAAGTAATGACATGTCAGTCACGTTATGAAACCCATCCGTAGCCTGCAGGACTTGTGTTGCTTTGCATAGTTCTCTGCCAATGGGAACGCGAATCTGTCTGCTAGCGTAGATACCCCACGGAAGCCAAGCAGGTTGCATGATATCCGAATAAAGAGGCCATAGCAGTTTGCTAGCAAGTGTGCTACACTAACATGACCTACCAACTCTTGGCTGCAGAAGGATCTTGGTTACAGATCAACAAGGCGGGGAACAAGACGGCGACAGCTACCTCGGCTTCCCAGGGTGATGGTTTCCGCTCCCCAAGACGATCACATAAGTGACATGGTGCATTAAGCCCCGGGTGAAACCTTGTGAGAGCCCCGATGCCAACAGTTCATTCTCTTCATATCATGACCGCCCACAAATCCGGTATCAAGGTTATCATCGTTGGAGCTGGCTTTGGCGGTTTGACTGCCGCTATCGAATGCCACCGACAAGGCCACGATGTTGAGATCTATGAGTCCTTTCCCGAACTCAAAGTTCTTGGAGACATTATATCCTTTGGTGGCAATGCCGGCAGGATCTTCAATCGCTGGTCTGATGGGGAAATTGTAGCTCGTCTACGCCCCTTGTGCATTGACATCCAAGACTACGGCTTCAGAATTCACAAATGGGACACAGGAGAGGTCGTATACCACCAAAAACGCCCCCCTCCCAATCCTGAAGCTCCAGTGTTGAACGGTCACAGAGGCGAGTTGCATGAGATTATCTTCAATTATGCACGTGATGAGCTAGGTATCCCAATCCATCTAGGCAAACGAGTGTCTGAGTATTTTGAGGACATTACACAAGCTGGTATCATACTAAAGACTGGAGAAAAGGTGGGTTACATATTTCTCAATAAAAGCCTTTCGCTGACTTTTGTTCCAGGTCACTGGCGATGTGGTGATAGGTGCTGATGGGGTGAGGTCAAAGGCAAGAGAGCTTGTTCTGGGATATGTCGACAAACCAAAGAGTAGTGGATATGCTGTTTGGAGGGCATGGTAAGTTTGAAGTCTTGAGTGGTGATCCCAAACCTGTTCACTAACAAGTAGAAGGTTCTCGAACAAAGACATGATCCAAGACCCCCGCACAAAAGAGTTCTGCGAGAATGGTGATAGCTTCAACGGTTGGATCGGACAAGATGTGCACTTCCTGTTCTCCACACTGAAAGGCGGCAAAGACTGTTGTTGGGTACTCACTCACAAAGACGATCATGATATCGATGAGTCGTGGTCGTTCCCTGGTAAGATAGAAGAGGTGCTAGAGCTTCTGAAAGATTGGGACCCGACATGCCGGGCGATCGTGGAGAAGACGCCGTCAGTCGTGGATTGGAAGCTGGTCTATCGCGATCCGTTACCGACTTGGATTAGTAACAAAGGGCGAATCGCACTTCTTGGCGATGCTGCTCATCCTTTCCTACCGACGAGTGCTCAAGGTGCAACTCAAGCCATGGAAGATGGTGTCACCATTGCTGTCTGCTTGAAGCGCTCGGGCAAGGATAACATCCCTGGTGCGCTGAAGGCTCATCAAACTCTGAGGTACGGATGAAGACATGCTGCAAGTCTGTTTCTTGACCAAAGCTAATACAATGCTAGATATGAGCGCGTGAAGGCGGTTCAGAAGACGGGAGAGTCGACGAGAGATCTTTGGCACAAGACGGATTGGGACAAAGTCAAGGAAGATCCCAGCAGTATCGGATTTCCACGCGAAGATTGGATTCACCAATTTGATGCTGAACGGTATGCAGAGGAGAATTTTGAGAGTGCCCTCAAAGTTTCATGGCACGAGGTCAAGAATAATGTGCAAGTTGACGAGGCCCCTACAATGGCGCAAGTAGCGGGCTAGAACTGTGTCATTGTTCTATTTATCCTGGCTTTGTTTTGCGGCATCAAACCTCCCTCCAACCTTTAATGCCTGTATCGTTTGTCTTCAGGGTAGGCTGTCCCAATTGTCAACCACGCGTCATAGACTTCGGCAGTTGTTCAATTACTCATGCTGAATAATCTGCCCCTGTCCATGAAATAATCGTGCCCTGATCATGAATCCTGCGATCGTCACATGAACGTAGGTTCCCGTCGGTCTTGAGACTTGGGCAGAAATCCAAGAACCTTCTGGCGTCCTTCTATGAGATGATTTTAACGTTATATCGAAGCCATACCTCGGTAAAGAGTTTCTAATCTAAGAACCGTCGCCGTGAACTAGACCAAAATTGTGGTCTGAAAGTGGAACATGACGGCATTGACTGGGTCTTTGGAACGAAGCTCGTGGCAATAATGGAACAAACCCGTACAAGTCATGACATCACAAATTTCCGATTTCTAATATTCGTCGCAATTGTTTATAAACGTACAAACGTTTCGGCACTTAAGCTCTAGTAAGAACAACAACAAGTTGTAAAATAATATCATCATCATCTGAAAATGGCACCAAGACGATTCTCTACTGAACCTGCAGACGCAAGCCCTTTGGGCCAGCCTCTCAAATTCGAGTTCAGCGGTAAAAAGGCCAAGAACCGATTTATGAAGGCTGCAATGACAGAACGACTCTCAACATGGGATCCCAAAGTCCTTGAGAAGCGAGGCGTTCCTACTCCAGAACTTATCAACGTCTACCGACGATGGGGCGAGGGAGATTTCGGTGTTATCCTGACTGGAAATGTTATGATCGAGTATGACCAGCTAGAGGCTGCAGGAAACCCGATCGTGCCCCGAGATGCACCTGCATCCGGTGAGCGGTTTGAAGCGTTCAAGGAATTGGCAACTGTTAGCAAGAAGCATGGTAGCTTGATTGTTGCACAGGTCAGCCATCCTGGACGCCAGGTCGCCGATAACATCCAAAAGAACCCCATTTCTCCTAGTGATGTTCAACTGGAGGGTGAGGTGATGGGAATGCACTTTGCTAAACCCAAGCCCATGGATGAGCAAGACTTCAAAAATGTCATTGAGGGATTTGCTCATGCTGCCGAGTTTCTTTATAAAGCCGGTTATGACGGTATGCAATTACATGGTGCACAGTAAGTAGACCAAGTCTCAGTGCTCTGGAAATATACTAACAAAGAGAAGTGGTTATCTCTTGGCCCAGTTCCTTTCACCTACAACAAACCAGAGAACAGACAAGTACGGCGGTTCCATTGAGAACCGATCTCGCATCATCTTCGAGATCGCCGATGCCATCCGTGCCCGTGTCCCCGATAAGTCATTCAGCCTCTCCATCAAGGTCAACAGTGTTGAGTTCCAAGAAGGCGGTTTCTCCACCGACGACTGCAAGGTCCTTTGCAAGCAACTCGAACAGCATGGCTTTGATTTCGTCGAGCTTTCTGGCGGAACTTACCAGAGCCTGGCCTTCTCCCACCGACGAGAGAGTTCGAAGAAGCGAGAGGCTTTCTTCCTCGAATTTGCCGAGAAGATTATCCCCGAGCTTACAAAGACCAAGGCTTACGTCACTGGTGGCTTAAGGACAGTCAAGGCGATGAATGAGGCTCTCAAGACGGTTCATGGTATTGGCTTGGCACGACCCGTTACTAATGAGTTTGACTTGCCTGCCAAGATCCTCAAGGGTGAGGCTAACAGCGCAATCGACACTTTGCTCGACGAGCAGAACTTTGGTATCACCAATGTTGCTGCTGGCACACAGTAAGTCTGCACAAAACTTATAATCACTGATGGTCGGAAGACTAACACATGCTTAGAATCCGGCTGGTTGGTAAGGACAAGCATCCTCTTGACTTGAGCCGAGAGGATCATAAGCGAATGTTTGAAGAATCTATGCAGAATTGGGGTGAGAGTATGGCGGATAATGACGATCAGTCCAAGTACGGATACGTCGACATTGATGGAGTCAAGTTGGAGCCATTTGGCCAAGCTTATGCGGCCGCGTAATTGATAATAGGTAATCAGATCTAGTATATAATAGACCATAATCTGAATTGGTAACAGACTTGCCTACTCAATATTACAGTAACTCCAACACGATAGACAACTACAATATCGGACGAGGAGGGGTTAGATGCCTTGGCCAACAGGCAAATCAGCTGATGTTAGCATCACCCAATGAAAGTCATGGGGGCGACTAGACCGGCTAAAACAACGTCAAAACTATGGCGTTGACTTCAGCACCAGTGTAGTTGAAAATGCAGAGGGAGCCTGGAAAAAACCCTCATGATAGGACTCAAAAACCCTTATGATAGGCTTATTTCACAAGTCGGCAGTGCTGCATGGTAAGGCATTATGCGGTTGAAAGTGTCTACTTGATGCGTGTTGCTGACCATGCAGAAACCCAAGGTATAATTTGGCTCAACCCCATTTTCACATTGATCTTCGACATCTACAATTAGCTCCCGCCTTATCTACAGCCCCAACATATCTTATCAAGTCAACTGAATCAGCCATGGTTGCGACACCCTGGACCCTACTTCGTCTCATGGATGAGTGCGAGAATGCGGAGAACGAGAATTCCAGCGATGAAGTCTTCATCCCCACTACTACGATCGAATTGCTGACATCGGAAGAGTGCGTCAGTGACATCCTCAAGGAACGAAACTGTCCAAATCAGGATGCCTTGAAGAAACGGATCTATGATGAAAAATGCCCTGCGAAGATTATCTTTCTCATCTTGGCTCGAGCTGGCAAGCTAGATCGTATTGGCCAGTTTCTTATCCAATGGCTTTTCTGATCATCATCTGCCTATAGATCTTCGATGGACGCGCGAAGGGTACAGATTCAAAAGTGTGAAAGATTCAAACTGGACCACTGCTCCCTTTGGAGCAGGAATTGACTATAACGATGTCGACTATTTCATACAGAAGCAATGGCCATTCTTAGCCCCTATCTTTGAGAAAGGATTCGAATATGTGCTACAACAAAAGGTTCCTTTACCGTTGGTCAAGAAAGGCACTCCTATTGTCTCAGGTTTTAGTTCCGTTTCCAAGATAGAGATGCACCCTGCCCACGTCCCAGAGCAGACAGAAGTAAGTCTACCAGATCCGACCCTTCAGCACCCTTGATTTAACATTATATAGCACTTAATGGCCATGAAGCAGATGGAGCTGGAGAGTGAAGATCAGATCAAGTATGTCAAAAAGGAGATGACTAACGTGAAGTCCCTTCGATTGCTCCATCACGACCATCTTGTCAAAGCAATTCTCGCCTGCACTAGAGGAAAGCATGCCTTTTTCTTCCCATGGGCGAAGGGGAGAGAACTGTATAAATTCTTGAAAACCAATTCGGCTCAGGGCATGGCTGCTATCATATGGATGCTGGATCAAATGATCGGACTCTCTAGCGCCTTAAGTCTATTGGCAGACAAAGGATATCGGCACGGTGACCTCAAGCCTGCCAACATCCTAGTGTTCCCTGAAAAATCTGGTAGTGGCCGCCTAAAGATAACAGACGTTGGGCTCTCGAAGCTTCATATCCTGGCAACAAGCAGGCGACTAAACGGCACGACTGCCAAGGCTACCACGAGGCGATACAGCCCCCCAGAATTTGACCTCTTGTTTGATGATGATGGGGAGCCAGCAGAAGACTCCGATGACATCAAGCTATCACGCAAGTTCGACATTTGGTCTCTCGGCTGTGTCTTCATCGAGTTTCTCTTCTGGGCCAAACTGGGCCCGCAAAAGTACAAGGACTTCGACCGGTCTATGAAAAGGGACCGACGTTTCTGGGACTCTGCACAGGAAGACCTTGACATCAAGGTTAAAGAGCGAATACAGAGCTTGCAGGGTGAAATTAAGGACACAACAGGTGACAAGGTCATCCAACGAATTCTTACCTTGGTTATAGAGCAAATGCTCCTCTTCAGCAGCGATGATCTCAGTAGTGCTTCGGATATCCACAAGGAATTGCAAGATATAAAAGATAGTTACAGTGAGTATCTCAAACCGAGTAACGTGATTGATTTGCCTCTAGGCCTGACTGCCGAGCAGGCCGCCGAGTCCGACCCTCGTCAAAATGGTCAGGGTCCACCAGACGGAAGCAACGCCATGAGTCGAAGCGCTCATGAGCTATCTGGTATCCAAAACAAGGGCTTAAGTACTAAAGCTATCCCTTCGGGGAATACCGCTGCTATGGCCGTATGTGGAAGAATTGGAGCCCTTGGGCGTTCAACTTGATAGCTGAGTGCGAGATAGTATGTGAGTGAAGCGTTGACTCCTTTACCAGGGAGTAGATATGCTGACGGAGAGTTTGATTTCGTGACATACAGAATGTATGTATTAACTCTGTGTACTGGAGTTCTGATATCTCGTACTAACGTCTTTCTAGCCTGTTAGTGCATCATGAAGCTTTCATCTTGATTCAGCCTACTTACAATAACATATTAGCGGGTATACTTTACAATACTCATCCTTTGGTACGCGGTATATACTGACAAGAACAGCAAAGCGCCAAGCTACTTAACCAATGGACGGTCAGCCCAGACAACGAGTTTGCACAGAAATTCTTCTCCGAGACTCCCCGGTCCATACCATCAGACAGAGGTCAACTGTGTGACTCGTGTTCAAGGCTTCGAATCTGGGAGCCCAATGCTACAATATCTGGCATAACGAGGGACTTTGGCTCTCCTGCGTCGGCATGTGACTTGTGCAATCTTCTATACGCCGTCTCGCAAAAGATTGGCCTTCAGGAAGATCAGGAATTACAATGCGTTAGGAACGGCCCTACACTCAACTTAGATGGGCGCGACGGCCCGCCAATCCTGTCTCTGTTCTCCGATCCCGGTATGTTTTTACTGTGGTTCATGTCTATCGTACTAATTATTCCCTCAGCCTTCAATGACCATGATCTTGGATCAGTTCAAGTGGGATATCCAACTTTGTCCCCCCCAGAAAGTCCTGAGCGGTATCGTCTATTCCAAGAGCGGCTCCATGTATGCGATAATGAGCACGGCCATTCACGAGACGCATCTTCTCTCGACTGTGCTGTCCTGATGCCCACTAGACTGATTCATGTGGGTGAGTCGAGTGAACACTTGGAGGATATCAAAGATTCTGGCTTTCTACGTTATCTTGCTCTTAGTCACTGCTGGGGAGGCAGCGCGAGCTTGTCTACCTTGACTAAAAACATCGATCAATTTCGCAACGAGATACCGCATGAACAGCTGCCGCTTAACTTCCAGGAAGCCATCAAAGTCACGAGAGCACTAAAGATCTCGTACTTGTGGATAGCTATGGGATAACTGCGGCCTATAAGGTTAAGCTTT